TATCTTAAAAAATGGCCTCTTTAAGGAAGGAGAATGTAAGTTTGGAACTGTAAGACTGGTAGCAAAAACTCATTAGAATGGTGAGGTATGAGACAGCTGAAACCCAAACTCGGAGAGCTTTCATCCCCCTCTTCAGCTTAACACATACACACAGATGTTTTACACTTTGGAAATCTGCTAGCATGAATTTATGAATTCCAGTGTATATTTGTGAATGCCATGTGTTTATCCCCTTACTGATGCCTTGTATGCTTACATTATTTCTCCTGTGGTTAAGGGGAGAGAAGTGTCTGGTAGGTCCACCCCTAAAAGGAACATACATTAATGATCATCAGCAATTGGATAACCTTGCCTTGTCAGGACAATGGAGACTACCAGAAGGGGTTGTTGAAGGCGATAGTCCACAGAGAATGGGGGGAAGGGGGGAAATGGGAAGGACAGGATAAGTCAAGGTGTTAAAGCTGCTGTTAAAATAAAGGGAGATACTTTCTAGAAAGAGAACTCCCCTCCTCCCCAAACAGAAGACTAGGCAGGAGAATTCTGGACTTCCTGAAAGACACTGACTCAGACCCAAGGAGCTCTCCAGGAGGAAAAGGAAACTGAGGCAGTGTCTTATAAGAAGGTATGTGTTTTTACTTAATGTATCTCTTGTGTTTTGTCTAGGAAGATGTAATACTTTCACAAGGCAAAGAAATTAAATAGTGCTTTAATGTAGCCGAGAAAGGCATAACAAAAACAATGGCTGGAAGCTAAGAACTGACCAAGTCAAATAATAAAAACCAACAATGATCCTGGTAGCACCTCAGAGACTAACAAAAATATAGTTCAAATTAGAAATTAGGTACAATTTTTGAGAGAGAGAGAGAGAGAGAGAGAGATTAACCACTGGAACAAACTGCAAGAGAAGTGGTGGATTCTCCATCTCTTGATATCTTCAAATTAAGGTCAGATGCCTTTCTGGAAGATATACTTTAATCAGACAAGCTATTGGATTCAAAATAAAAGGTAAATGGGTGAAGTTTAATGACCTGTCATATACAGATGATGATGAAATGGCCCCTTATTACCTTATACTCTACAAAAATTCATTTGCAAAGTCCTTGAAGGGTGGAGCTCTGGAGAGGGCATGATTATACTACTGGGGAGACTTGCTGGGTCATCATTGATCTTTGAGACCTAGTGCAGCTGGACTGTAGATCACACATCCCAAGAAGGGGTCCCAGCCTTTCTGACTGTATTTCAGAAATATGACTGAAGGGTCATCCAAAGTTCTAACAGCAGTGTGGTGAGAAACAATTCAAGGTAGCATTCTGTGGGCATACACACAAATCTGAAGAGGTCATCTAGGACCCACAATCACTTGCAAAACTTGGGACTGAGAGCTTGTAGCTACTTGCCCATGTATTTGCAACCTTGAAGTCAAAACCTTCCTCTTCAGCTTCAAAAAGTCTTGTGGGCAGAAGTGCCAACTCCTTCATTCTTTTGTGCACCAGATAGGCCTAGATTCCACCACCAGCCAATTTTGGTCCATAGATTTTTAATCCTACATTTTTACATCCTACATGTAATCCTTGTTTTTCAGGCATGATCTTAATACAGTCCTTGAATAATATCATTTGGCCTTTTTTGTTTGGACTAATTCAGTCTATTTCCCTTTTGCACCTTTTCTCATCAACATTTACTGTTACAGCTTAACTGTGACAGTTTATAAAAGTTTATTCACTTTTTGCAGTTGTGCCCACACACAGGGTAAATTCATAGGCCAAATTATCACAACAGATCCCTGAAGGTCTCCCTCCAAAAGTCTTCCTGTTCAGGGGTGCACAGCCTGTGTAGGAACCCTGGGATGCTCTGAGAGATTCTTCAGGCACTGGAACCTAGAACAATCAGGGAACAATCACCATATGATGCTTAGTCATGACCTTTTCTTACTGAGTCTTCCCTGTTCTTTGTATCTTTTCTTGATGTTATTCAATAATCCTCTTCAGAAACTTCCTCGTGAAATGAGGTTTTCCGCCGTCTAAAGAAAAGCCGCGTTCTTTCGATTTAATTTCGAAAGAACGCAGCTGTAGTCTAGACGCAGGTGAAGTTTTTTCGAAAAAAGGCGACTGTTTTCGAACAAACCCTTGAGTCTGGACACAGCCTGAGTTATTAATAGTGATTTTTAAATAAGTCTTGAAACAATGTGAAGACTGGCCGAAAGCCAATGTGGAGACAATATTTTAAAAGGGTAAATGGAATGACCTAGCTAATTATACACTTGTCCATCTGACATCAGTCTCAGATAAGATAACAGTGCAGTTCATACCATGCTCAATTAATAAAGAATTAAAGGAAAGTAATAAAATTAATGCCTATCAACAAAGGTTTATGAAAAAGATCCCATCAAAGTATTTTTATTTTTAATGAGATGATGTTTGGTTGAGAAAGGTAACAGAGTTGATATAGGAGACTCCTGTAAGATATTTGGCCCAGTATGGCAGAATTTGATTAAAAATTAGAATGATACACAAGTGACATGGACACATTAAGTGAATTAGAAACTGGCAAATAAGTCTCAAAACGTAACTGAACAGGAAGTCATCGCGGAATGGGTGTGCTTCTAGAAGAGTCTTCCCAGGATCAGTTCTGGACCCTATGCTGTGGAACACATTGCCAATGACTCGGAAGAAAATAAAATCATCACTGATGAAGTTTGCAGATGACAAAAATTGGGGGAGGTGGTAAAAAAAATAAAGGGGGCAGGTCACTGATGCAGAGTCATCTGAATTTTTTGGTAAGCTATGTGCAAACAGTATCTGTTTTATAACAGCTATATGTAAACATTTAGGAACAAAGACCTTAGGCTATGGATGAACCTCTGGCTTGGGGAGGCTTGTCCCCTCCCAACCTGTTTCTTTCACCTGAGACCTCGCCTCTTCCATGCCACAGGAGTCCATCCTCCACTATAGACTAACTGAAGTGTAGGAGCATAAGCTTTCGTGGGCAAAGACCCACTTCGTCAGATGCATGGAAATTTCCAGAGGCAGGAATAAATATGCAGGCCAGGATCAGGCTGGAGATGGCCAGGTGGATCCAATCAAGGAGGATGAGGCCCACTTCTAGCAGCTGATCTGGAGGTGTGAATTCCAAGAGAGCAGAAGCTGCTTTTGTAGTTAGCGAGCTATTCACAGTCTTTGTTTAAGTTTGACACAATCAACTCTGGATTAAACAAAGACTGTGAATGGCTCGCTAACTACAAAAGCAGCTTCTGCTCTCTTGGAATTCACACCTCCAGATCAGCTGCTAGAAGTGGGCCTCATCCTCCTTGATTGGATCCACCTGGCCATCTCCAGCCTGATCCTGGCCTGCATATTTATTCCTGCCTCTGGAAATTTCCATGCATCTGACGAAGTGGGTCTTTGCCCACGAAAGCTTATGCTCCTACACTTCAGTTAGTCTATAGTGGAGGATGGACTCCTGTGGCATGGAAGAGGCGAGGTCTCAGGTGAAAGAAACAGGTTGGGAGGGGACAAGCCTCCCCAAGCCAGAGGTTCATCCATACAGCTGGTTCCTGCCCAGACCTTCCATTTCCGCACAGCGGGGGCTGCTAACCACTGCCAAGTTAGTGCCCCCAGCCAACGCCTGGCTCCGGAGTGCTGAGTGGCTGGACAGCACAGCCCCAGCCTCTGGCCACACTGCAGCCCCCAGCCTCTGATACAGTAAGAGCAGGAACCAAGGGCCCTAGATGTAGAAGATGAGCAGAGACATGTTAGGCTGTTGTAGGCACATGGAAAACTCTGCCTTCACAATACCCGCCACTCAGGACTCAGGCCATATTTATGGGATGAGGACACTATCTTGGGAAGCAGTGACTAAAAAGATTTGGGGTCATGCCAGATAATCAGCTGAACATGAGCTCCCAGTATAATGCTGTGGCCAAAAAGCTAATGTAATCCTTGGACGCACAAACAGGAATCTTGAGTAAATGTTGGACTGTTTTGACTTCTCTCTCAGGCATTACTTCTGAAATACTGTGTCCAGTGCTGGTGACCACAGCTCAAGAAGGATGTTGATAACTTGAAGAATGTTCAGAACACAGCCAGAAGAATGATTAAATAATTACATAATATACCTTATCCTGATAGACTTTCAGAGTTAAATCTACTGAATTTATCAAAGAGAAGGCAAGGAAGTGACTTGATTACAGTCTATGAATAAATTGGGAACAAATATTTGATAAGATTTCAGTCTAGCCGACAAAGGTATAACAAGATCGAATTGTTGGACATTGAAACTAGACAAATTCTGACTGTAAATAAAGTGTACATTTTTAATAGTGAAGGTAATTAGTGGAACAGGTTACTAAGGTTTCATAGTGGATTCTCCATCACTTGCAATTTGTAAATCAATATTGGATTTTTTCTAAAATATATGCTCTAAAAATCATTTTGGGGAAATTATATGGCCTGTTTTTACAGGAGGTTGGAGTATGGTTGCAGTGGTTAGAATCTCTAATCTGGGAATGACAAATGACTTTGGGAAGTGATCATTACTTGATAGATCCACATATTTAAATCCCACATGTAAGGGATATCATGCAGTCTTGGGGTTACTATTATCTACCATCATAACTGATGTTCAGTTGCTTTGTGTCATTGCCTAGTTGGAGGGTGAGGACAGAAAACACCTTCAGATTTCTTGAGCAAAGCCAAGCTACTTAAGCACCACCACTTGCTAATTTAGATAAACTGGCTCTACATAGTTTTCAATTTTACTAAAGCCCTAAAAATTTATGCATCTTGTGAGATTTTACCACAGAATGCTGCACTACATCTTTTTTTTTTTCCAAATAATGAGCTCATTTTCTGAACAAACACCTACTGACATACATTTGTTACCAACCACAAGAGATGCTACTGAAACATCACCCTTAGTTTAGAGGAGGCATCTGCATTACTTCAAATTCCCCCCCTCATTCCTCCAAATCCTAACCCTGTTCAGTAAAGATTCTAAGACACTTAAAGGAAAAGAAACACATTGTATTTGATTTACAATTAACAGGATTTACAAATAATGACAAAAGCAACAGATTAGCAATGAAAACATGATGGGTGTCTCTGTTCATCAAGGAGTAGCAGGCACAGTGTTTTTGATGCAGCATTCTTATGTACCACAGTCCTAAAAAAATGGAAAATAACTTCCGGCCCAGCCATGCTGAGCAATGTCTACGCATGGATGCAAAAAAATCTAGTTTTGTTCTTTTTTTTTTTTTTTTTTTAAATAAAAGAACTGAAATGGGATGGGAGAGTGACCCTGCAATGAGGCCTTTGACTTTTAGGGGAAGGCAATTCATGAATCTGAGGATATTTTCAAAAAGTATAAAAATCAACAAAAGTTTAAATTCACTGTAGGACAGACAACAGGGAAGAAGAGATGGCAGCAGAAACTACAGCATCTTGCCAAGAATTAGCAGAGTTCAAGTGCTCAGCAGGCAAAAAAAAGCAATAATGAAAGGGAATTAGTGCACATGGCAGCACTACATTAAAATGCTACTTTAACTGCCAAAAAACTCTGAGACAAGAATGAAACAAAGTTCTCTCATGTGCAATACAGCAATTGAAGAAAACGTACCTAGCTTTTTAAATTGGATAGAACTTATTTATATTGTAAACACACTTCTTGACAAGTATTTTTAATTTTCACTGCTATTGGTTATGATGTATATTCGATCATATGCAGCATTCCAAGGCTTGATTGTGAGTGGTATTTAGCTATATGGATATAAGATTTTTCTATTATCATTATTCATTACTAGTATTTTACATCACAAGTACAATAAAAAAAAGTGGTAGTTCCTCTAGGATAGTTCCAAGTTTCAAATTAAAAAAATCCGAACTATTCTGATACAAGATATTTTACATAACAATCATGTTAAACAGCACACTCTTGGCAAGCAACTAATTACAGGCATTCTGCTGGTCATGTTTTTCACACACAAAAAAAGTCATTCAACAGCACATAAATATTTTTCTGACCTGCTTCTCTTTACAAAACCGTTCATCAGATTCACAGAATTAATACAAGTAAGGCACATTAGCATATATTGTAAAACTCACAATAAAAACAAAAGGTTGCAAAGTTTTAAGGGCTAATTTCCCTTGCAGTGATTTATGAATCAAATTGGAATTTACCATCAGAACCTTTCTATAGAGGAGACATAACTATATTACTCCCGTAACAATCAACTGTGATGGGTATAATACCATGCATTACCATAGATAGGTGTGGTAAATTTAGAGAAATAGTATTGTATGGCATCAAAACCCATCCCAAGATCTTAAAGAAAAATCATAGCAGATATGTCATTTACTATATTTGTTGTGAGCATAATGTAGCTACTGATTTCAGAGCTAGTAGGAAATTAATTTCCAGTTATCAACATAAGAGGGGATATTGCATCTGTTTCTTCAAATATGCTACCATTTTCCCAAGTACAAATATTGCTTAAAATATAAAGGATGCTATAGTATTTAATTTACTTGCATAATGATTCTAAAAATGCTGATGTTTCAGATTGTACTATTTGATTAAATGAACTATAATTCTTCCCCAATGACTCTTCCCCCTCACAAATGATTCATTTACACACAACACAGATTTTAATTAGAAGTATAATTTACAGTAAAAATTCTTTACATTACAGCTCTGCTATCAAAAACATGAAATCTTTCATTTAAAGTTGTAATTATACATTAAAAAATAGAACACTATTTCCTTAACAGGAAGAATGAATTTAAACATCTTCAGATCAGATTTCTTTATTGTGGCTTTTTAATCAAAGGTCAGTCACTTTATTCTCTAATGCAGCTGCTATCTGCTGTAAACGGAAGGCAAGCTGCATTTTTTGTGCTGCTGGGTCCTCTTCAAGTGCATTTATGATCTGGAAAATATAAAAACAAAATGCTCAAAAAGCATCAGCACCAAGATTACTGCATCAAGTGTTTAACACTACTTTGGTTTTCAGAATGAATGCAAATACTAATTAATTTTCCTTCATTGTGCCCTTCTGCTCCATTCTTGCAGTGGAGATTCTCGGTCCCTGGACCCTTATTCTATATAGATTTTTATATCTCCTGTCACTGTGGTATCCGAGTGATTTAAAAAGTAAAAATTACTGTAAAATTTTAAAATACTACATATAAAAATGGAGTGTGTATTTAATAATTATTATTTATTCTAATAATTTTTGCTGTGCCTCTCCTTCAAGACTTGCCAAGTAAGTCCCTTACAAATACTAATCAAGCTCCGCCTGCGTTCCAGTCTATTGACCTTGGGATGGCCACAGCCAGCCACCATAAATTAGAGAAACTCCAAGGTTGCTCTGAATTTAAAAAAAAAAATACAGAACTAGCTCCAAAGTCAGGGAGCTGTAGACAGCTCTTTTATGGCTTTTTCTGGATATAGCTGAGAATTTTGTTCAATGTTTTATAGTCTAACTAGCATGTCTAAGGAGCAGCACATGGTATTCTGCACAGCATTAGGTTATAGAGTACCTGCCAAAGTACATCCCAAAGAGATAATTTACTGAAGTTTGAGATGGAAGAGGCCAATTAGATCATTTAGTTCTATTCCACTTGGTGAGAGAGGGCTATTCCTAAAGCACATTTCTTAGGGCTTTCAATGTCAAATTTACAATGTCTGAAACAAACAAAGCCATCCACATTCTTCTGGAAACTACCTCAAAATCTAACAGAGGAGTAATGATATGTAGCAAAAATGTTTTGTTTAAAAAAAATTACCTTCTGAACACAAGTTATAAGTTATAATAAACAAAAACCAGAAAGGACCTTGTTTAAATGCCAGTTTATATTAGAAGTACAAGAACTTCAAAAATCCAGTGTCCTTGTCACTACTTAGGCTTTTTCTTTACATTTTGTGCTTCTTTCAACTTAAACAATGAAAAATCAATGAAGTCAATATCATTTATTAATAGTTTCTCTTTCAGGGGTGCAGTGTTTCTTGGAGTGTTTAAATTGCAAAGACTGCAAGGAGACTTGTTTAAAAAAACAATTTTTTAAAAAACATCTTAAACAATTTGGTTTTTGTGTGGAAACATTTCTGAGACTTAGATTTTATAAACACCCTTATAAAATTAAATACAGCCAAGTGTAAGTGGACGTCTTTCCTTTAAATTAATCTCTTTTCATCCAATTTTAGCTCTGTGTGTCCTGGCTAAATAATTATTGAATCTCTGGTGAACATACTCTTCATATACTTATGGGCAATTATAATGTACCCACTTAGTTAATGTAACATACTTGCAGAGATCAACAGTGCATTGCAATCTGGGAATAGTAGTTTCAGTGTAAAGCAGGGCTAGGGAAGACATGGCCCGAGGCTTAATTTGACCTGGTTTACAGCAAGTCTCCACGTCATAGGCCAAAAGCTCATGCCAAAAGCATCATTCCCCAATGGGGTTGGAGCATGAGCACCAGCTCACTTCACTGCAGGGAGAAGTCCCTAGCTTTGGGGGCCTCTGCTGCTCACTTGGGAATAGGTGAGTAGTGAGGGTGTTTTTTTGCTTGTGTGGCTCCTGATTGATTTTTCTATAGTTCAGTGATCCTCTGGTGTAAAGGAGAAGGGAAGTCACAAAATGCTGGCATATATTCAAATTTTTCATGGAATTTAAATTTGTTTCATTTTATGCCAACTTCCTGTAGGCTGATTTTCACCATGGCTCTCTGGTAGGATACCCTTGGAATCATAAAAGTGCTGCTTCTACGCCATTCAACCCCCAGAAGAAATCCTCAGATCTGCTGTTTTACACTAAATACATGGAAGATGTTTAACGTTTTTGCTGACTTTCAATTGAGGAAAGTTAGTAACCTCACTAAAAACATTTGGACCTAATCTGCAGCTGCAGTCCATGCATGAGTGGAGACGGCAATTCAAGAGTAGAGATATGAGGGCAAGAAACAAACATGGGTGTTTTTTATACTTCTTAAACCCAGGCTTTCTGTATTTGAAGCCAGTCCACTCATGTAACATGAAAGGTTGCTCTAAACTGGAAGGGTTACCAGTGATGGGCATAGCCATGAGCTGACCATATTGTCCTTGATAGTACAACAGTCACATCGCAGAGGCTGGCATAAAGACTGATTCTATACCACCCTCTCATGCCTGGGTATGCCAATTTTAAAGCTGCTTTAGGCTGGTGGTGCTGTGTAAAGAAGCCACAGTGCAGATGAGGATGAGGCCAGTTGCTTTTAATGCTAAGCATTAGTAAAATCCCAAACTGCAGTGTGGGGAAAATGGACTAGAGAGATCACATATGCCTAGTTCCTTTCAGATTCAGCATCTGTTCTTACTGGCTTTGATTTAATTCCAAGAGTTTTCTAGAGACATTCATCCCCATGGAAACCCTTAAATGGAAGTTTCTTTCTCATTGTTTGTTCTCAGAGTAAAACTTCAGAGACCTATAGGCCATCTACATCTCAGTGTGTTCTTTTCTCCTCCATCAGGCTTCTAGGATCCAAATCAAATTTTGGATAGAATCCATGAGCATGCTTTTCAATCAGCCCACAGTCAAGAGCTATTCTGCCCAAGTTTACGTTGGTCAGGCACTTTGTTTGCAATAACAAAACAGAGATTGTAGCAAGCATGTAAGTTACAAGTAGAATTTAACTAATAAAAAAAAGGCACTCTTCCATCTTTACAGGCAAAACAAGTTTAATGGGCCATTCCTAATATAAAGTGCTAGGGTTTGCCACTCTGTATCTTCTACAATTGCTCTTTTCCTGTTGGCACGGTTAGTCTGCAAGTTGGATGTGAAGAGAATTAAAGAGTAAATGACGCCATCAGTTTAAAATACATTATTTTAATTTAGTTTTAGATCTGGTCAAGCTATCGTTAGTATAGGGAAGAAAAGTATTTGATAATCAAAGCATTCATTTACAACAGGGGCGGGGAACCTAAGGCCTACGGGCTTGCCTGGATCTGGCCTCTGAGGCACAGGGCTCCCTCCCAGCATTGGGGAGCCTGCGCTGGCACTCCAGCCACTTTGTGGGACTAGAGCACACAGAATATACTAGCCTGGGCCCCCTAGACTCTGGGGTAGGAGGGGAATGTGGGGAAGTGTCTTCCTTCTTCTCAGTCAGGGGGTACATCAGTAAGTTGTTGTTTTTCCCTCACTTGTTTGAGGCCCCTGACTGATTTTTTTGTGTGGGTCAGTGGCCCTCAACAAAAAAAGTTCCCAATACCTGATTAATAACAATTGACTTTTGACCACTGAAGCTGCCATGTCAATGCAACTCAAAAGGAATGTTGTGGGGTCATTGTTCAACACTGCTCTGGCCTGGTTATCTGAGAGTACGTCTGCACTGCAATTAAAAACGTGCTCAGCCCATGCCAGTAGACGTTCAGGCTTTGGACGGTGCCAAGAGATGGGAGGGTGGTCCTAGAACTCAGGCTGCAATCCAAGCCCCAAAGAGCTATACCAGGGGTGACAACCTATGGTTCACAAGCCAAATATGGCTTACTAGGGAACCAGATATGGCTTTTCTGGAACCCCAACTCAGCTCCTCCAACAGCAGGGAGCCAGTTCTGGTGCTACAGCCTTACAACCCCCTACAAGATTGGAATCAGAGCTTGCTTCTGGCAGGGCAAGAGGGGTGAGAAAGCCCCTAACCACCTCATTAGATCTGGTGTGCAGAGAACAGACTCCATCATTTTTAGCTCTGTGTGCTGCCCTTTTTCTTCTCCTGGGATACACTTCCTGGAGGCTTCCCTGTGAAGCCCTCCTGGAGGCTTCCTTCTGGAGAGTGGGATGCCGTGTTACACAGCGCCTGTGATGCGGCGCAAAAACATGTAAGTGCTTCCCATCCTCCCCAGATCCTGCACTCCTATCCCCTCACTCACATGCTCCTCTCCCCGGACAGACACCCTGCCCCTAGCCCACTCTTGTCCCTGCTCCCTGGCCAGACAGCCTGCCCCCAGCCTTCTCCTGCCCCTTGGCGAGTCAACCTGATCCCAGCCCACTCCTTCCCCCTGCAGACAACCTGCCCCATGCCTGCTCCTGCCTCCTGTCCTCTGGCCAGACACCCTACTCCCAACCTACTCCTGCATTCTACTTTCAACTCAGACCCTGCATCCCCATCCCTATCCCACTCACTGGCAGTCCTACCCGGCACACTGAACCTCTCTTTTTAGCCCCACCCCAGAGCCTAGGGGACCCACAAAATCCACTAACCCTGGAACCCCAGAAGAGTAAATCTGGCTGAGGCCTTGAACCTCAGTCCTTCCTGCCTCTTCCCCCCACCATGGGGCTGGAGCACCAGAAGAGTGAGGCATTACAGTTGAGGGCCACAACAGTGAGGGCTGGGTTTTTTTTGGAGTAGCTTCTTTGCTTCTCACTTGTGTGGTCCTCAACTGATTTTTCTGTGGGTCAGTGGCCCCCGACCCAAAAAAGGTTCCCCAGTCCTGCCATAGATAAAGAAAACATGGAAACCTGTGTCTCGGGCATAATATTTTACTTTATTTAAAAATGAAGCCTGGCCAACAATCCCCCAATTGAGGACCAGCCCCTATCTGGCCAAAGTGTCATAACACTCCTGCACCCCCTCCACACCATCCTTGAGCCCATCAGACACCTGAGCCCCTCATATCCTACATCCCCAAACTCCTGCACCCCACATCCTCAGCCCCCTGCCATAACACTCCTGCACTCCCTCCATACCCCAACTTTGAACCCATCATACATCTGAATCTCTTGCCTTGAGCCCCTCATACCCCATATGGCAGCTCCCTGCCATAAGACTGACAGAAGACAGCCTGAATGCATGCATGAAGCTGGATTGGATCAGTCATGATGTAAACTTCAAGGAAATGTGCAAAAAGATGCAGCAGCAGAAGTCCCATTAAATAAAGTCTGTGAGTACAAATAATATAATGCTATTATTAATCATTATGTCAATTATCAATAATATTATGTTGTATATTTTCATTCATACAAGTAGGCATTCTTATACGGCTCTTTGTTGACCATTTGTTCTGAATTTTGATGTAGTTTGGCTCTTTGGTTTGAAAAGGTTGCCGACCCTGGTCTACACCATAGTTAAAAAGCCCCTTGACCTGAAGCAGCTGGCATGGACCAGCTACGAGCATCTAATTGCAGTGGTCTAAACACACCCTGACGGTTCTCAAACGATTTGGCTTACACGGATGTGTAGCCATTATGACGAATCATGCACAGCACATTAAATATTTATATTATTCAAATAAGGAACTTACTTCATCGTAGTATTTGTTAGTATACTGGTAGAGCTGGTGTAGAGCCACAAGGGTGTTTAAAGAATCTGTGTGTGCCTAATAATTTAAAAGAAAAAAAATGTCAAAATACAGTCTTGACTAATTAACGGTAAGAACCAAACACACACATAAATACCAGGTACAGTATAATTCTTTTTCCAGGCTCAAGCTTTGAATCTTAAAAAAAATTAGATAGGTGGCTGGGTTGGATTGGAAGAGGGAGATAGGATTAGAAATTTTGTTTGATGATTTTCAGCACCTCATCCCCACTAAGGCTGATGCTGGTGTTGGGGCTGTGCACCACTGTTCCCATTGAGCTGTGGCTGCAGCTTCACAGGTGATTAATCAGCCCCACCCAGTCAGTCAGCTCTGTGCAGGGAGCCCTGAGCCTCTGACTAGGCACCCTGGAACCCTGCTGTGCGTGCCTTCCCCACTCCAATGGCTTTGGTGAGGGCTGGGACTGTCCCTCCCCATCTCCCATAGCTTCAGCTTAGGCTCTGTGCCCCCACCTTCATCTCCTGTTGCTGGAGGTACGTGCCCATCCCTACTTTGGCTGGGGCCAGAGCCACTTCTGTGTGCCCCTGCCCTGCAATTTCAGCAGGGTCCGGAGCCTCTGGCAGTATGTCCGTTGTCCCCATAGGGATTCAGATGTCACGCTTTCCTCTCCACCCCAACGGCTCTTCCTCTCGTCCTTGTTATTTTTAGTAAAAGTCACAGGCAGGTCAGGGCTCCCGGGTACTTTTGTTCACTGCCCATGAGCTGTTTGGGTATGTCTACACTACCACCCTAGTTCGAACTAGGGTGGTAATGTAGGCAACCGGAGTTGCAAATGAAGCCCGGGATTTGAATTTCCTGGGCTTCATTTACATAAAGCTGGGCACCGCCATTTTTAAATGTCCACTAGTGCGGATTCTGTGCCTAGTCCGTGCCGTGTGTAGCTGTGCGGCACGGACTAGGTAGTTCGGACTAGGCTTCACCTGACTAGGCACAGAATCTGCACTAGCGGACATTTAAAAATGGCGGCGCCCGGCTTTATGCAAATGAAGCCCGGGAAATTCAAATCCTGGGCTTCATTTGCAACTCCGGTTGCCTACATTACCACCCTATTTCGAACTAGGGTGGTAGTGTAGACATACCCTTTGTGATTTTCACTAAAAGTAACCATAACAAAATCTCAGCCGTAGCAATGAGTTACTCCACATGAATGGAACAAACAACATAAGCCTCTCTTGCCTTGCAAGAAACCCCTACACATTCAAATGTCAGTTCATTTCTGGTATCTTTCAATTTTGCGTGGCATTGCCCTATGAACACGTAGTCACTGTGCTAGCCATCAATCTGTCCCAAGTGATAAACTAAACCAATCAGCAGAAAATGTAGAGTGACAAACTATTCAACAGCACTGACATTTTCCCACAATAAGCAGGAAAAACCTCTGTGAAGTTAAAATGTGTTTGAGGCGGTTACTACTGGTGGTATTACAATGTTCTTATTAACCAATGTTTCAACAGCCACACCAAGCACAGTATTTTCTTTCTAAACAGGAGTGTGTCATCAGATGTTAGTGCACATTACAAACCCATGCAGAGACGACACTGACAACTAATATTTTTAGCAGATTGCTTCACACTTACCCTGGAAATCTCTGCTAAATGAGTATTCATGTCCTGGTCACTCACTTGCACCATCTGACGAATACCTTTGTAGTAACTGCAATGAATTGACAAATTTCAATTTGGTACAATAGGGAAGTAGAGGGAGGCATGGCATGCAGGCCCACACTTTGAATTCTAACTGGAGCTGGAAATTTGCCGTGTTGCCCCTCCATCATTTTGAGGTGCTGCAAACCTGTGCACCTGCTTGGCGCCTACATCTTTGCAATGCTTCCAGTGCCCATGGTCACCAGGCAATCCCAACCAATGGACAGAAGTGGAGCAGCAGGCAGTGGGAACCCCCATTCCCCAACAGGGTAAAGGGACTGGATCCAAGCTTTAGATATTTGCTGGGGAAGAGAAGTCACAGATGGAAGACAGGTTTTGTGAAGGGGAGCCGACAGACCACCTGGGCCTCTGGGTGGACGCCATGTCACACCATGCGTAAGGGGGATGCTTACCAGATAACCAGTTAACCTGTGGCGTGGTGGGCCTAGCTGGAGCAGCCCCCTGCTTATGGGATTGTAGGCCCATCCTGGCCTGAGCAACTCCCACCAGTTGTGAGCCTGGTCTGTCTGGAACAGCCCATGGCACACTGGCTAGGGGCTGCAGGAGGGCGGGGCTCCAGCCTGGCTAGGTCCATTACGATGAGGGCTACACTAGCCCAGTCAGGTCTGCTGTACCTCTGGAAGGGGGCTGCTCTAGCCCGACCAGAGCCACCCTCCCCCACCTGCTACTTAAGGAATCTTATACCTTGAAATTTGTGAAGACCTAAGTTTAAACTTTTTACCACGACTAATGCTATTTTTATTCATATAGATGTCACCTTTTTGAAACTAAGTAAATGTATGAGCTATGATCTGCCCCCATTTATTTTCTGATGGAAATCTGAACAATTGAACAATTTGACAGATTGCATAGGCAAAATGAAAGGCCCTGGGAAAGTACACATTTTGGCTCCCTTTTTTTAGATAATTTAAAGATAAGTATTACCAAAAATTTATGAACACATGCATAAGGTTACCATCATGATTGACTAACTTTTTCAAGGAGATTTTATTTATGTATTTTTTGTGTTCGACATTTAGGCCTTTTTCCTTCAACGTTAATATTTACATGGGTTATACTGTTGCCATGCTTGTACCCAGAAGCCTAAACCAAGTAACCAAGAATAAATAAAAATTGTTTCTACATACTTACTCTTCCACCATTTTCTTATAGTTAGAGATCTCTTTTGCATAAAGTAATTTGTTACTTGGAGAATCCTGAAAAATATATAATAAGCAGATTTTAATCAAAGGAAGACTCCATCCTCCTGGTTTAGTGTTAATATACATAATACAACAGACTATACCATATTGAAGACTTCTCCATTTATACACTTAAGTATAAATTCATGCTCTTTTAATGCCCTTCTTAATTTCTTTAGGATATTATTCATTCCTAAACCATTTTCCCTCAGTCTATGGATGGAAATAGTTACATCATGAAGGGAAGACCTGAAAAAACTGGTCTTTCCCCTGGGGCTTGCTGTGAAAAATAGACTGACAGATGACCAAGACAAACGGAGAGGGAATGTTGCTGCTTCTGTTCTCACTCCTTTTTCTCTCTGTAGCAAGCATTGCTAGTTTTCTGTGTTTTTCTCTGCTTGGTCCCTGTTCTATGCTCAGGCTTGGGGAGCAAAGCTGCCCAGGCGGGGGGGGTC